AACATTTGTTGCAGATTACATTGATACATAATTAAGCTCAGTCTGTATTTTGATGATTATTCACCAATTATCCGTTTATTCCATGAGTGGTGGATAAGTACATTTGCGGTTTTATTGCAACACTGATAGGATGTGGTAAAAAAAAATTATGACTTTTTATTACGCAATCAAGGGACAATTCGAGAGAACCGTTCAGTGAAAACATAGGTTATTTCCATCACAAAAACAGCCTTTTCTGCTGAATGAACATCAGAATTATAAGAATCAATCGGGGCTAGAAATGAGCCAAAGTGCCCTGGGTTCAGGTCGGCATGAATTCGATGAACTTCAAAGGAGTTCGGATGCCGAACTCCAACCCCATTGAAAACAAAGGGAGCTGAATGTGTAAAAAAAAAAAAAAAACAATGTCCCCCAAAAAATGGGGTAATAGGCAAAAAAAATTAAATCCAAAAATAGCACGGGGGGTGAGCACTGCTCAGGGAACATATACAAACGCAAACTCCATTTGGCCAGGAGCAGTGATTTTTTTTTTTAAAGCCCTGACATTTGCAAAGGAAAAAAAAAAAGTATTTTAAATAAATCCTTATAGGGCCTCCTATGAATTTTGGAGGACCTTTGGAGGGGTCTGTTTTTTGGAAGTCAGCAGGGAAATGTCATTTGCCAGCAAATGTGTGCATTAAAAAAAAAAAAAAAAAAAGCCAACAATGAAGTGTCATTTGCTGGCAAATATGGTTTCCTACGTACAAACCTTTGGAGGGGTCTGTGTGTATTTTTTTGGAAGTCAGCAGGGAAATGTTATTTGCCAGCAAATGTGTGCATTAAAAAAAAAAGAAACCAACAATAAACTGTCATTTATTGGCACACATAGTCTCCTATGTGCAAACCTTTGGAGGGGGCTGTGTGTATTTTTTTTGGAAGTCAGCAGAAAAATGTCATTTGCATGCAAATGTGTGCATTACAAAGAAAGAAGCCAACAATGAAGTGTCATTTTCTGGCAAATATGGTCTCCTATGTACAAACCTTTGGAGGGGTCTGTGTGCATTTTTTTGGAAGTCAGCAGGGAAATATCATTTGCCAGCAAATGTGTGCATTAAAAAAAAAGAAGCCAACAATGAAGTGTAATTTGCTGGCAAATATGGTTTCCTATGTACAAACGTTTGGAAGGGTCCGTGTGCACTTTTTTTTTAAGCCAGCAAGGGAATGTCACTTGCTAGTAAATGGGCAAATGCCGGCAAATGTGTGAAGAAAAAAACAAAACAAAACGATAATTAAGTGTCATTTGTTAGCAAATACATTCTCCTATGTATTTTGGGGGACATTTGGAGTGGTCTGTGTACATTTTTTTGGAAGTCAGCAGGGAAATGTCATTTGCCAGCAAATGTGTGCATTATAAAAAAAGAAGCCAACAATGAACTGCCATTTATTGGCACACATAGTCTCCTATGTACAAACCTTTGGAGGGGGCTGTGTGTATTTATTTTGGAAGTCAGCAGAAAAATGTCATTTGCATGCAAATGTGTGCATAAAAAAAAAAAAGAAGCCAACAATGAAGTGTCATGTTTTGGCACACATGGTCTCCTATGTGCAAACCTTTGGAGTGGTCTGTGTATTTTTTTTGGGAGTCAGCAGAGAAATGTCATTTGCCAGCAAATGTGTGCATTACAAAGAAAAAAGCCAACAATGAAGTGTCATTTTCTGGCAAATATGGTCTCCTATGTACAAACCTTTGGAGGGGTCTGTGTGCATTTTTTTGGAAGTCAGCAGGGAAATGTCATTTGCCAGCAAATGTGTGCATTAAAAAAAAAGAAACCAACAATGAAGTGTCATTTGCTGCCAAATATGGTTTCCTATGTACAAACCTTTGCAAAGGTTGAAGCCAGCAAGGGAATGTCACTTGCTAGTAAATGGGCAAATGCCAGCAAATGTGTGCTTTAAAAAAAAAGAAAAAAAAGAAGCCAACAATGAAGTGTTATTTGCTGGCAGATATGGCCTCCTATGTACAAACCTTTGGAGGGGTCTGTGTGCATTTTTTTGGAAGTCAGCAGGGAAATGTCATTTGCCAGCAAATGTGTGCATAAAAAAAAAAAAAAAAAAAAAAGAAGCCAACAATGAAGTGTCATTTTCTGGCAAATATGGTCTCCTACACACAAACCTTTGGAGGGGTCTGTCTGCACTTTTTTTGAAGCCAGCAAAGGAAGCTGACAATGAAGTGTTATTTGCCAGTAAATACAGTCTCCTATGTATTTTGGGGGACCTTTGTAGGGATATGTGTTCATTATTTTCTAGGAAGCCAGCAGGGAAATGTCATTTGCCAGCAAAAAAATGTATACATTAAAAAAAACAAAGGCGACAATAAAGTGTCATTTGCCAGAAAACAAGGTCTCCTGTGTATGTGTGCTTACCAAAAGAAAATAAGAGGCTGACAATGAAATGTCATTTGCCAGCAACTAGAGCCTCCTTTTTATTTTGGTGGACATTTGGAGGGGTCTGTATGCATTTTTTGGAAGTCAGCAGGGAAATGTCATTTGCTAGTAAATGGGCAAATGCCAGCAAATGTGTGCTTTAAAAAAAGAAGAAGCTGACAATGAAATATTATTTGTCAGTAAATACAGCCTCCTATGAATTTTGGGGGACCTTTGGAGTGATTTGTGTGCATTATTTTCTAGGAAGTCAGCAGGGAAATGTCATTTGCCAAAAAATGTGTACATTAAAAAAACAAAGCTGACAATGAAGTGTCATTTGCCAGAAAACAAGGTCTCCTGTGCATTTTGGGGGACCTTTTGGGGGGGGTCTCTGTGCATTTGTTTTAGGAAACAAGCAGGGAATGGTCATTTGCCAGCAAATGTGTGCATGAAAAAAAAGAAAAGCCGACAGTGAAGTGTCATTTGTTGGCAATTTAAAGCGGAGCTCCACCCAAAAGGGGAGGTTCTGCTTTAAGCCTTTGTCCCCTGCTCCCCTTTAAGGATTGGCACCTTTGGGGAGCGGGGGGGGGAGGGAGCGAGTACCCGAATTTGACAGGTACCCGCTCCCACTTCTGCTGCGGTCACCTAGGCAATCAGAAGTGGAAGTTGTCCTCCCCCTCCCCATAGTCTTCTGGGACATGTGACAGGTCCCAGAAGACTACGGGCCATTCACAAAGCACAGTGCTACTCACGCATGCGCAGTGGGCACCCGGCTGCAAGCTGTCACAGCCAGGTGCCCACACTGAAGATGCCAGCGCCAGGGAGAGAAGACGGCCAGTGAAACCAGCGATGGTGAGGACACTTCTGGACCAAGGGACAGATATTTTAAAAGTCAGCAGCTACAGTTTTTGTCAATTTCTCACATTTCATTTGTTTCCATGTCACTTTTGGCTTTTTATTATATGTTTGACCTCTCTGCTGCCTTTGACACAGTTGACCACCCCCCCCCTCCTCCTCAAAAAACTCTATTTACTTGGTCTCCATGACTGTACTCTCCGTTGGTTTGAATCTTACCAATCTCACCACACCTTCAGTGTCACTTACAACTCTACTTCCTCCTCTCCTACTCCTCTTACCATCGGGGTCCCCCCAAGGTTCTGTCCTTGGACCTCTCCTACTCCTCTTACTGTTGGAGTTCCCCAAGGTTCTGTCCTTGGACCTCTCCCTACTCCTCTTACTGTCGAGGTTCCCCAAGGTTCTGTCCTTGGACCTCTCCTACTCCTCTTACTGTCGGGGTCCCCCCAAGGTTCCGTCCTTGGACCTCTCCTACTCCTCTTACTGTCGAGGTCCCCCAAGGTTCTGTCCTTGGACCTCTCCTATTCTCCATCTACACTTCTTCCTTGGGTCAGCTGATAGCTTCCCCTGGTTTCCAATACCATTTCTATGCTGATGACACACAAATCTATCTCTCTACTCCTCAGTTTACCCCATCAGTTTCCTCACGTATCACCAATTTACTAACAGACATATCAGACTGGATGTCACTCCACTTCCTACAACTCATCTATCCAAACATGAGCTCATATTTCCTCCCCCATATGTCTCTTCCCCTGATTTCTCAGTCAGGATCAATAGCACCGCTATCAACCCATCCCTGCATGCCAGGGTGCTAGGGGGAACCCTGGATTCTGGACTGTCCTTTCAGGCCCACATCCAATCCCTGTCCAAATCATGGCGCCTCAACCTCCGCAACATCTCCAGAATACGCCCCTTTTTAACCAATGAGAACACAAAGCTCCTAATTCACTCCTTGGTAATCTCTCACCTCGACTACTGCAACTCCCTCCTCATTGGCTTACCTTTACATAGGCCACCCCCTCCAGTCCATCATGAATACTGCTGCCAGGCTCATCCACCTTTCCAGCCGTTCAGTGTCCTCCACCCCTCTCCGCCAATCCCTCCACTGGCCTCCATTCAGTGTCTGCTACCCCTCTCTTCCAATCCCTCCACTGACCTCCAGTCAGTGTCCTCCACCCCTCTCTGCCAATCGCTTCACTGGCCTCCATTCAGTGTCCTCCACCCCTCTCTGCCAATCCTTCCACTGGCCTCCACTCAGTGTCCTCCACCCCTCTCTGCCAATCCTTCCACTGGCCTCCATTCAGTGTCCTCCACCCATCTCTGCCAATCCCTCCATTGGTCTCCACTCAGTGCCCTCCACACCTCTCTGCCAATCCCTCCACTGGCCTCCACTCAGTGTCCTCCATCCCTCTCTGCCAATCCCTCCACTGGCCCCCACTCAGTGTCCTCCACCCCTCTCTGCCAATCCCTCCACTGGCCCCCACTCAGTGTCCTCCACCCCTCTCTGCCAATCCCTCCACTGGCCTCCACTCAGTGTCCTCCACCCCTCTCTGCCAATCCCTCCACTGGCTTCCACTCACCCAACGAATAAAAGCATACTAACAACAACTTACAAAGCCATCCACAACTCTGCCCCCAGCTACATCACCAACCTGGTCTCAAAATATCAACCAAACTGCTCTCTCTGATCCTCCCAAGACCTTCTGCTCTCTAGTTCCTGTGTCACCTCCTCCTGTGCTC